AAAAAAAAAAAAAAGTCGAGAAGGGAGAGGGTTCACATGTCGTGGCGTTGTTAACCAATGTCGTAAAACATGTGTACTACTGGTTAATGAGAAACTATTTGTTCTGTAAACCTCCACCTGAAGTACAATTAAAAAAAGAAAAAAAAAGTTAATTATAATTTAAAAGTTAACATATGTACAAGGTTAAGCAAATTTTGAATATGTAAATAAGTATACAATAAAGGTTCATCACTGAACCCCAATATTCCACTTCACCAGTCCTTTGTGTATTCTTTCAGAGATAATCTTCCCATGTACGTGTATATCTGCATATAGTCTAGAGATAATCACTACTTGTTTCTGAAAGAAAATGCACTACACAAAACGTCCTGTGCTCTGCACTTTATTCCATATAGTCACATAAACAATCTTAGCAATCATTCTTTATCAGCAGATGTTGATTTCTTTTCTGAAATTATATTATATTCCATTATAGAGATATATGATTTTGTTCCTACAAACAATGCTGCCATATAAACATCAATGCCATTGTCTACCTAATGATTTTGGGAAATAAAAACACACTCTAGTAGTACTGTAGAATTGGTGGGATTAAGTTTTAATTCAATGGCACGTCAAAAACAAAACAAAAAATAATAGTGAGGAAGGATAATAAGGAATTACAGCAAACACCTTCTGTTCCAGGTAACTATCAGAATGACAAAGATCAAAATATACTAACTAGTGGGCAACAGTCCACATCACACTTGTGGACATGGGGTTTGAGGAGAGGTAAATTCTTAATGTTATCACAAAATCTGTGTCTTCGCGCTGCTCATACCAGAGCCTACACCCTTCTGGCCTGTTCTACTAATGGACAACTCAATTCACTAAGATAGTTCTTTTACACAGAGCTGAAATCTACTTCTTTTTAACCTCTACCAATTAGTCCTATCTGGGCCTTCCAACACAAAAGGTGGCAATGGCTCCCTCATGATATTCCATCAAACATTTCGTGTTGGCAAAGCCTGTGTTACAAACTTTCACCAAAAATAAATTTCCCTTTGGTTAAAATATCCCAATAATAAGGAAAACAAAGAAGCTAAAAGACATCAATTTCTTAGTTTTCTTTTTATTCTAAAAAAACAAACAGCTAAACAAATAAAGGGGAAAATGTAAAAAACTTTGCCTGAACACACTGTACACAGTTTACAACACTGAAGCTCATATAACTGATAATATGTATGTGTAACATATGTATAAATTACAACAACTATGATCTTAGTGGACAATTTTTTGTAAAGGAAAGACAGATAAATGGTGATACTTTTCCAGGTAAGAATACTAAAAGGAGAAAAATGTAAAATGACTACTCTTTTTGTAATTGAAAACATTTTTCTTATTAAAAATAATTCCAACACTTTGAGATTACCATTGCTACCTTTTCAGTATATAGTCTTCTCATACCATTTTCTCTTTCTATATATTCACACCATGTATGCATATATATGGCTTTTAAATAAGTACCTTAATCTGCTAATTTTATTCAGCATGTTGTGAAAATCTTTCCTTGTCAATAAATATTCTTTTACAATATCAGTTATTAATGCTCAAATGATATCCCACTATACAGCGACAAGTTTTACCTAATCTATTAATAATATTAAGCCTTAATCTACTGCTGGTTTTCAGGTTGTTTCTATTTTTCACCATTTTAAACAATATTGCAAATAAACATCTATATAGAAATAGCCTTTCCCCCTCCACCGGACTGAGTCCAGTACAGCTAGATGGTGCCCGGCTGCCACCGACTGCTCTGACCAGGATCACAACAGAGGGTTCTGGACAGAGCTGGAGAAGGATATAGAGCATAATTCTAACTCACAAAAAAAAGACCAGATTTACTGGCTTAAAGGAGACTGGAGAAGCCTCGAGAGTATGGCCCCCAGACACCCTTTTAGCTCAGTGGTGAAGTTACCTCCGAGGTTCACTGTTCAGCCTGGGAGTGGACAGCCCCGTAAAACCAAATGAGACTAACGAGGTACAGGAGTCCAGTGACAAGGGCCAGAAAGCAGAGGGGGACAGGGAAGCTGGTGATAGGGAACACAAGGTTGAGTAAGGATATTGTTGATGTGTTGTGAGATTGTTAACCATTGTCGTAAGGCAACATTTGTAGTAACTGTTAAATGAGAAACTATTTTGTTCTGTAAGCCTTCATCTTAAGTGAGAATAACAGCACAATTGGAAGAGCGTAGTCAATGTCACTGAACTGTGCATGTAGAAATTTTTGAAATGGTGTATCTTTGGCTATGTGTATTTTCACCAAAAAAAAAAAAGGTTGAGAAGTTAGAGGGTTAATATGTTGTGGGGTGGTTAACCAATGTCATAAAACAACATGTGTACTACTGTTTCATGAGAAACTATTTGTTCTGTAAGCCTTCACCTGAAGTACAATAAAATATATTTAAAAAAAAAAAGAAATAGCCTTTCTCACATCTTTATACCAGAGTCAAAAGAGATATATATATTTTGATAGCTACTGTCAAATTGCTTCCTAGAAAAATCGTACCAATTTATGCTCATACCAGCAGTTCTGAATGTCCCTTTACCACCTTTATTTTTCAAACACTTGGGTTAACATTTACTGACTTTAAAAGAGGGGAGAGGGATTTGATACCCTAAGACTTTGCTTATAGAACTTTTATAATAATAGACTAGATGTTAAATTTTTAAAACTTTTGCAACATACCCAAATTCTATGTGCCTTAACCCAACATCTACATTTTAAAAAAGACATATATCAAGCACGATTAATTAGAAAGATGCAGATAATTCCAAATGTGCATAAAGCAACTTCTCAAAATAGTTGTATTTTACGTTTACGCGTTTTAGAAAATTTTAAATCCAATGGGAGAAAAACAAAAAACCAACATTCACTGTCTCATTTGATCCTAACACCATTCTGTTAAACTACTAGAGCACATTACTCCCAATATTACATATTGGCAGACTGACTTATCTAAGGCCATCACCACCTGCCTTGTCATACTGTGGTGGCTTGCATGTTGCTGTGATGCTGGAAGCTATGCCACTGGCATTTCAAATACCAGCAGAGTCAGGTTGGACAGGTTTCAGTGGAGCTTTCAGATTAAGATAGATAAAGAAAAAATGCGTGGCGATCTACTTCCAAAAATTAGCCAGTGAAAACCTTATGGATCAAAACAGAACACTGACTTGCTGGCTTTGGACATGTCATCAGGAGGGATCAATCGCTAGAGGAAGACAACATGTTTGGTGCAGTAGAA